TCGGAACCACTTCGAAACTTAAAGTGCACAAATATCAGCTTCTACGGCACGTGTAACATTCAAATTGTTACATCACGTGTGCTGCACTGCAGCATACATGAAGTAGCAATTTCAGGTGAAATTGGGCACCGATTTCCGAGATTTGTGTAATTGAAAATTCGAGCCGATGTATAGCCTACGTGGAGGCCATTTGTGGGTTCTACAAGGAATCACCTTAAATAAGTGGTTCACAGATAGTGTTTACATTCCCGGGAACGATTTCCCAGGATTCCAGATTCTCGGGAACATAATTTTCATTTCCCGGGATTCCCGAATTTCACGAGAAATTTGAGATCTATTCAAAGATTGCTTTAGATTCTGCTGAACTTAATTTTCTCCGCTGAAATTTATCGTTTAAGTGAGATCCCGTTAAGCCTAGTCATCTACCAAATCTTGTATTATATTTAATATACTTTATCGTATTAAGTCATGTAAGCAGTGGCTAAGAAAAAATACTTACGAGGGTATGGTTCAAGAAGCATTTACTTTTATGACCAGCTCTGTATAGAAGATCTGTCAAATGCTGGCTGAAATCCGATCGATTTAATTTGATTCCAGTTGAATATTTAACAGATCTTCTATACAAGGATAGTCATGAAAATTAAATAGTATTAAAGCATCAATCCATAACACAAAAGTTGACGTTGGGTTGACCGATCAACTGTGAATGTATATATGTATTCTAGAGTTGGTTGGAAATGCTATCTAACATGAAACTTTAGTGTGATAATTTATTAGCTAGAGAATGGTCTTTAGAAGAGGGTAGGTAGATAGTTCCGTTAGAGTACGGCAGTATGAAAATTGAATAGAAGTTGAAAATGAGCGAAGGGCCATTCATAGGACAGTACAAAGTCAAACGCATACCTTTTGCCAAACCCGTACCATGTACGCGGAGATTTGAAGTATGTCTATGTCATACTGCCGTACTCTAACGGAACTATCTACCTACCCTCTTCTAAAGACCATTCTCTAGCTAATAAATTATCACACTAAAGCTTCATGTTAGATAGCATTTCCAACCAGCTCTGAAAATCGCAAACTTCGCGTATGAAGTAACATAAAAACATTTTGAATATGTATTCTACATAGATTTATGCTATTCCTTTAATATCTGCAAATACCACTGCATCCATTGGATCAACAATATAAACAAGACATATAAAGAAGACTGGTAACTCTCCCGGTTACTATACTACTGCTATAAGACACAATCGTTCAATACCATAGCAAATATTTCATCCTCAGTTTGTGTATTTTCATATTTTGGTATGCGTTGCTTCCAACTTCACTCAAACGCACTTCTAGTGTATCTATCGCTTAGATTCTAGTAATGTTGCCAGTCTTCTGATATGGTGTCTTCGATCAAACTCTTGAATATTGAATGAACTTGAATATTCCCTCCAAGCGTTCTCTGAAGCCGATACCACAGCAGCAAAAACAAAGTAATGCAGAAGAAGCTTGATTTTCAAACTCAATGTGGAACTGATACAGAATGTTAAGGTGCAATTTACTTTGTTGCATTTACAATATTTCAAACCCATTTTTTTCAACTCATCATTTAAGATTACATTAAAAAATCATCATTGCATTCCTTCTGCCATTTAACGTTATATGACAGCAGCTTCTGCAATCAGAATTTATTTGTAAACAATTTGGATTTCCATTTTTTGAAAATGCACCTTAAGAAATCTATTTATTTTATTTGCTGACATCAACTGATTGTGATTAATCCCTATCCGAAAATATTTGCAACAAAAACCTATTCGGGCATTAAGTATTGTTGTTTAATTCACGGGACAATCCAGATGACCGTTTTCTGCCCACTAAGTAGCAGAATAGATATGAATATACCTTTCAAATAGTGGTTCAATTTTAAAATTTGGTATCCAAATTGCCGAGAAACAGTCATGTCAACATGAATCGAAATGTATTTTGCTCGGGATTTTCCGGGTTTTTTTTCCGTTTCTGATGACCAACCACAGGTTTATTCAGACTTCTTCCTGTTCCAAATGAAACTAGATAGCCATACCTTTCGAATGGTGGCTGAATCATAACGATTGATCGTCGCATTGCCGAAAACCAGCCATGTCAACATGCATCGACACGCTGTTTACAGCCTTGGGGTTTTGTCAGTTAAAAAAGGTAACCAACCTAACCGCTTTGTAGTTAATCCATTTTTTATACACCGCAAACTTAATTAATTAATTACTAAAATTGCATACAGACAGAAATTTCAGAAATCTTCAAAATTGCCCATTCGTGAAAAACTCTCCATGTTCGGAGACCTCAACGTTAACTCCATAGATAGATCTTTTGTCTCTCTTTATTAGTTTTTGTTTATCCTCCTGTTTCGATGAATCTCATCGTTGCCCACTGGTCACCATACACACTTAGAAAAAAATATGTAAATTTAGATGCTTTGAGAGTGACATATACGAGCGTCAATTGTGACATAAATTTGAGTCATAACAGACGCGAAATATAGCTCAATCAAACGTACTTTTCGTCGAGCAACGAACTTTTCAGTATCGGAGCATTTAATTTTACATGACATGTTTGTTTACGTCTCATCTTTTATGTCAAAGATGGATTCCGTCACGTGTAAAATTAGTTATTTCTAAGTGTGTAGTCAGTAGAACTCCAGACGAATCAAGAACCACACTACGGTTCATACTGGCGACAACGCTCTGATGAGACAACGAAACCCCACTCCGAGGTATATCCTTCTTACTTCGAAGCCACGACTATTCGGCTCAACTCTTACTACACACTTAGAAAATTTCATGTAAATTTAGGCGCTCTGAGAGTGACATATACGAGCGTCAATTTTGACATACATTTGAGTCATAACAGACGTGAAATACAGCTTAATCAAACGTACTTTTCGTCGAGCAACGAACTTTTCAGTCTCGGAGCACTTAATATTACATGACATGTTTAGGTTACGGCTATTCTTTTATGTCAAAGATGGATTCCGTCACGTGTAAAATTAGTTATTTTTAAGTGTGTAGACATAGAATCAAGTGAATTTTGCTGCGAACAATGAACTATTAATTTTCGGCTCTGTAAAGCTAGCACAATTGCCCTAATAAAAATATTATGGTTAATTTGCTTAACCACGTGTTCGGGGTATCATCCTAACAATTTGTGGAATAGTTCAATCATTTGGGTTATAATTCGTTTATGATAATGTTTAGCCTTCCAAATATTGCGCATTTTGCACCAAATTAGACTCCTGTGCAAAAAATAATTGCACAGTAATATTTTCGCACATGCCAGAAAATTTAAAAATTGACTTGTTTGAAAGCAGTAGAAGCTTTAGAACATTACTTCCAAGCTACACTGTTGAATTGAAGCTCGAGAAAGCATTAAGAAGCTCCATATTTAACTTTTAGGACCAGTACGAAAATATTACTGTGTGCTTATTTTTAGCGCAGGAGTCTAATCAGGTGTGAAATCCGCAATATACGAACTAGATAAAAAAGGTTTCGTAGATGTGCAGAGAGGGTGCTTCAATATGAAAAAAACTATCAGGGACAGCCCTATGGGATTGTACGCAATGGCGACGTAGGACTACGTGGTCTTATATAATAAATCTTATTTGTTAACTGCAGCAGGAGCTTGTGTTTTGTGTAAGAATAGGGATTTGAGCGGGGTTATCTCTGTTTATACTCTTTAGTATGACGCGCTTGACGCTTTAAAAAATGATAAAGTCTTAAATTTAACAGATGTGTAGAAATATATCTGATCGTTTGGTGATAAAATTATTGAAATTTTTCCAGGGGCAGCTGAGTTATTAACGTTCAAAATCTTTCATAATTTTGTTACATGTTCCATTTTCGGTTTTCGCAAAGTGTACCCCCATATAGAAATCACAGACGTAGTCTTGACGTACAATGAAATATTTCTTATTGGACACTTCAGTTTGTTTCATAACCCCAATATGAGTCTGTGCAAAAAATGGTATAGAATGATGTGTGGTCGTACAAATGGTTTGATATTTGTATGGGAATTACTATGGAAGAATTTTATATTCCATTTATATCGCTTTTAACTTTGGTTTTAGTTATCAAAATGCTTAAAAATAATAATATTAGGTTGCTATGACCATGATCAAGAAACCTGTTGTTTAGCAGCAATTCAAGAAAGATAGAAATGTGAAAAATTGTGAAATAGGAGAATTATAGTTAAATATTTGCCAGACAACAACACTAATTTTATCTCAACAATAACAAGCTTATTATTCGTTGTCATGGCAACCACATATTATTATTTTTTTCTGTATTTGGATTACTAGAAACAAAGTAAGAACGTTCTAAGTGAAATTTTAAATTCTCCATAGTAATTCATACCTATTTATGTAATATACTACCTTACATAATTGTTTACGCAATTAAGGCATCATACGGTATTATGATGACTGTAAGTCAATTGAGAAAAAATGCTTTAAATCGGTCAATTCAAGCGATACGAAAATATTTTCTTGAACAAAGTTGCTTGAAATTAGCTGCCCTATGCCCATTTTTACAATTAAAAAAGTTATTATTTTATTTCAATGATAATAAGAACCACAAGCTTGTATGATTGACACCAAAATGAGGGCTCAATTGTTTAAAACAAGTTTGTAGAAGACACTTTTTTTTTTCTAATGTTTCAGTTTCAGGCTCTAAATACATCTTTCTTGGTAAATTACTATTCTGGACCACTGTGCATTGGAATCCGGACACTTATTGCACAATGTGGAACAATTTTAAACGTTAAATATTAAAGCTTTCCAGGCTCAGAATAGCACAGAATGATGGCCATACATGTTCATCGCGCAGGTTTATTACGTTGCAAAGAGTAAGCAATATTGAACAAAATATAGTAAGCCCAGAATTTATTAGGATTAAATCTTAAGAAAAAAAAAAAAAAAACAATGTGAAAAAAGGAAGTGAAATTGAATAAAACAAAGAAAAACATACGTTTGGAAATAATGATATAATTTGCGTTAATTCATCAATCGTTCTAATTATTACAGTTCTTATTTTTTTTTGCATGAGTGTGATTTTGTTGTAAATGTTTACCCTTAACATTTAATTTTTCAATATAACGAGACCTTACAGCAATTTCATTGAATTTTTGTTTTATTTCTCGGTAGCAAAACAAAAATTTGCTCAATATTTGTATTTAACTGATTTTACACGTACAATTAAAAAAATCTAAAAGAAATTTTCTTTTGCTCTCTACTTAATGTACATCACTTTAGATTGATTTTTCAAAAATAAAAATCAATAAAATTATAGGAAGTGGTTCTTTGCTAAATAAATTCATAATATGCGCAATGGTACAGGTGTTTAAAACTAATTAATTTAAAAAGTGATATCTTAACTAATAATGTGTTTCTGTATGTATATGCATTGTGCAGAGCTAACGCATGTCACATTGTTGTTTCAACATTCTATACACACATATTCGTGAAAGTTTGTTTGTCTGTTGTGTTTCTGCTTTGATAGTTTGTGAACACCAATGTAGTTTCGGCTAAGAAGCTTTGGGAAGTAAAGAAAATAATAAAATGTCAAAAAGCGTTCAACAACTGAAATAAAACGAAAATAACATCACACTTTTCAATTTCTAACGATTATGGACCATGTTCATTTGTTTACGTTCCAACATTGCATGAGTGATTGTGTTCTGTTTTCTTTTAGTACTCTTTTGTTTTGTTTTAGAAATAATTATAATACAACAATACCACCGATTGCATTGGATCATGACAAACGGTACGCTCCAGATGTATTGTTTAGCGTACAAACGATATGGTTTCCGACGAAACTCTAGTACCAATTCGTGGTATCTATGCTTGTTTTTGTATTTCCAAAGACCCTGTAGGTACATATCAAGTTCCATTAGAATTTTTTTGTAAAGCATTTGTTCTTTTAGCATGAACAGTGAAATATACTGTTACATCGTCAGACCAAGTCCTTTTTGAAATGGAAAGCAATCCTTACGATGCTAATCAATTAGTGAATTTTGTGTTTTTCCCTCAAGTCTATTGTAAACAATTACAGAGTAGGCTTACTGCTTATAATAACTATGATTTGTTTTATTTACTTGCACGAGAAGTAATTTTTTTTATCTTTTTCAGTCGGTAATGCTTTTTATTATAATTTATTGGTGGCTTCCTGGGTCCCCTTACACATACACAGTACAGCGCGCATCAAAGAACAATAGAGCCGTTGTTCAAGGCGTTCGATACCTGTTGTATGTTAACTATTCTGTGACAATTTGTTTTCAGGACGAATATACAAGCCAATGTGTTATATTGTTTAACCTTTGAAAATTTTCCAGAATCCCTTCCTGCTGCCTTTCTAGATCATTCTACTGGATACCGTCTCAAAATCAACCAACTTTGTGAAGATTTATGCCTCGTTCAGACTACAGTGTTATATTTATTGTCGAAAAGCAAACTGTTAGCAAGATAGGTTTATAACATGTAATAAATCTACAGTGTCAGTGCTTTAAAACGAATGTTGAAGAACGGAAGGGAATGTATGGAAATTCCGTAGAAAGCAAAGTTTATGTTAAATCGCATTAGATTACATAGGGGAATTTACGTATTCTCGTCAATCTAAGCAGCGTCTGCATTTCTACTAGCATTTTCTCAGCGTCACGCACATATATGATGTGTCTGTTTGTTTACATTCATCTGCTGCTTGCTTCTCTATCCATTCCAATCGACAGAATTTTTCAAAACGTTTTGAAAGCGTTTTTACAACGCTCCAAACTTCTCAGGTGAGTGTGTCTATTGTCGGCAGCCTCTTTTTCTTCGGCAACCTTCCCATTAGAACTGCGTGTTAACCAGCTGTTCTATTATCGGCAACTCGAAATCAACCCCATTTTGTAGTGCGTATGCTTTATTTGAAGAAAAATGTAGCATTACTGGATTGCTCGATCGTTCAAATATAATCAGATTGAAGCTGAAAGGCTAAACAATCGTTTGGACACATTCAGGGAAGTGCGTTGATGGGAAAACATAGTGAAATTAACGTTTAAATTTTGGTTGCCGAAAACAGTCAATGGGTGCCGAAGCCAACATTTACCCTACGTATTCTCAAGAGTGCCTTGAACAATAACACGAGATTTTTAGATGACATACATAGTATTCACAAAGCAAAGGTAACCAGGATAAATCTAGTGGCCATCAAAGTATCCGTTTCTCCTTGATGGACAAAACTAATCTTGTTATTGTTAGAAAAATCGCATCAACCTGCTGTTTTCAGCAAACAATATTCATAAATACAATTATTCAAATAGCATATCCGGAGCATGAGCATAATGTAACGTGTACTTTTGATCAAGGGCTTAACTATTTCCATACTAATTTACATTCAAATTGGTATCGTTACTGTCGTTAAGGTCTACGCACATTTCACCCGTTAGTGACACGTTGCGACAACATTATAGCTAACTCTATTGTCTAACTGCTTTCTGCAATTTGTCACTTATAAATGCAATGTGCGTTGTCATTAAGACTCAAACATTTTTTTAAATGCACTAATCCTAATCCTAAGACCGAGCTAAAAATTTAGAAAATTCTAATCAGATGGTACTGATTAGAAAAAGGGGCGACCCCGGCGTAGTGGTTAGCATTCATACCTCTAACGCCAAAGTCACGAGTTAAAATCTCACCCTCGGACAAGTCACGAATGACTCAAGAGCGTTAAAGTGACTATAATAATAATAAAAAAAAACTGATTAGAAAATGTGTATTGAACACTCGACAGCAAAGGCCCGGACATAAATGAGCCAGGTCCAGTATCTTTCAAATTTATCGGAAAGTTTCACACACCAAATCTTTTATGTATGAATCAACTGTCAAGTATGGTTTGAAATCGATGGTCATGTGTACAATATTGTTTAACCGTCTGACTAACATCGCACCGGTTTAGTTCATTTGAAATTAGTTTGGAAACAATAGTATCATTGGCTTATTTATTAGTCCCATTGTTTTTATCAAGATTAGTTTACACTCAACAAAGTTACAATAGCTTGAATGAATATAACAATTCGGTTGTTGTTTTGACACGCACTTATCCATTCATTTGTGACTAATAATGAAAAAATGAGTTTAAACTATACGGTTGGTCGACTGTGAGCTACGTGTTGTTATATCGTACTGTTATCGGTTTAAGATGGGATGCGTTAGCTTTGTTCAAGATCAAAACCTAAATCTCCTACAAAGTAGCGCTCAACCTACAATATTTCCGTTTGTTGTGTATGCATTTACTGTTTTTTTATAAATAATTTTTCTACGCGTTTTGTGACATGTTATACGATGTACATATTTATATGCATTTACTTATAAAAAATATTTACATAAACATAACAAATAAATATTCAGTAGGGTACTAAGATAAGTGTTTGGTTGATATTGTAATTATACAAATAAAAAAAAATAATTTGAGAAGAAAACAAATGCTTCGATAGCATTATACAGAGGGATGGCTCACATAATAAATAGTCACTGGACTAATCCAATGCAATCAACCATAGGTATGTAGAATGAAGCTCGGTATGTGTCAGGGGAAGGTGGTGGGTGTGTGGGATGGATGCGATTCTTTTTATTTGGTCGCCAACCAGATTCCAATGTCGATGCAGCTCACTTGTTTGCTTGTTTGTGTTGCTTTGAAGATGATGATATTGGACTACGTTTGAACGTTCAACATTCTTTGCATGCCTGTTGCCTTGCTTTTTGGTTCCTCTAGATGGCCACATTGTTTTTCATTGTTTAAATAGAGTAAGTAGGTATGTTCACTGGGAAGCGGTCGTCTCTAGGATTTCTCCTCTCAACCAATCGTATGTGATGTGCGCGAGATTGTTTTCTTTACACAATTAACTAAACTAGGCACTGCAATGAATGAAAACAGGATTAGTTATAGCTAAACCTTGTATGAAGATATTAAGGATGGGACTGTATACCTTAAATAGTTGCCGTTTATTACAAATGGTGAGGATAATACTCCGCAGGTGGATAGTGGTATCCTTGATGGAAGGTTGGGTCACCCGGTGGTCGATGCATCATCTGCGCTTGGCCGTCCATCATATAGCTCATCGCATCCGGATAACCGGCCGATGGTCCAGGGTGGGTGTATACTGAAATCGGAGAATAAACTAATCAAAAAAGAAAGAAAACATTCAGTTAAGTATTATCAAAGTTAGTTCACGATTTGTACGCGTGTGATGCAATGTTGCTGTCACAGAAGCTGTGGGTGCAGCGGTAGACTGATATTGGAAGAGTAAATAAAAAAAAATACTTGGCCTGTACATTACTCAAACAACGTGCCGTGCTTTTTGCTCTAGGTTTACTCGATCCTTAACATAGCGGCGTTTTACTACCCGAATATACGGGAATATAAATTCAATAGCAAGTTTTAGTATTAAAATTGGGAAACAGATCATCAAAAATGCCATTAGTTTGATTGATATAAGAGATACAATATCAAAAATAATTTCAAAAAATCTATGTCAGTTGTTGTGTAGCAAAATCATAGCAAATTAATATCACATTTTGCTATAATATATCACCAAGCTATTGATAAGATATTTAAATTAATCAATTTAATGACATATTAATAGCTTATTTTGCTATCAGATAAATTAGCTGTTGAATCCATGATACCAACATATCATAACAATAGTAAATTGTGCTTTGATAGCAGAATACGATATTAACATGTTAACTTACCCATAACATAACAAGATATTGATAGTAAAATTTGATATTATTTTGCTCTGGTTTTGCTATTCCCCTGGCATGATCGTTCTTTTCTAGTAGCATAAGACTATCTACGGCGGTGTGCATGAGAACAGTTTGTGGAGGTGCATGCTGAATAGGATGCCCGGAAAAATCGTTTTAAATGCTGTGCTTTTAGAACGACTTTGGTGGATTGGTGCTTTGGTTTATTGTTAGTTGCAGTTTCATCCACCTAAGGGATCCATGTACTGGGAATAGTATGTGATCAGGAAGTTGGAGGATCGGAGGGTGTCGGAAGAGGAAAGTTGGGTTACATAAAAGCTGACTGTTACATACTGTAGCAACTGTTATATTGTAACAGGTGTGAAAGTTTAGGAAACGTAAAGAAAAAACGCTTTCCTTGGTAACACATAATTTTGTACTCAACCCTCTCCCATTGTTGTGTTATAGGGGAAGATGGAGAAACTTGTACCCCCTTTTTGATTTTTTTGAATTTCTCAGCCAGTTTTGTGTAAATTTAATATTTTTGCCTGTCACTTCAAAGTCGTTACTAAGACACAGCTCAATGATCACAGCAGGAAAAGCGGTCCAAGTATTCCTTAACAAAATGGTTTGATACCTGTCGAAAAAAAGGCTAAAAAGTTTAAACAATCAATAGCCATTATTCATATGCATTATTTTTTAGCATTAAGTATTATTTTTCAATTAGTAATAATGAATAGTGCAGAATACATAAAATGTTAAATGCATCATGATGTATATAACCCGGGTGGATCATGTCTCCTTCCGAATCAAGTATCCCCATCCTTCCTTATATTTTCTTTTAGTCTGAATCGGTGACTATTATCCTCAATCTAATGTTGTTCTCTTGTAATGGCCTCGAACTGCCATGAAAATATCGTCGTACTTTAATGTTCCATCCATCAAAAGCCACTGGAGATGGCTGGATACCTTAAGTTATTTTGTTAAGACATTTTTTGGGTTGAATTTATGTTATTCTGTCCCGACGCGCCCTTCTTGGGGAGCCTTACACAGTGTACATTATTATTTATTGACCTTGTGCCGCATCACTGTCGTGGTAACGCGTCTGCGAAAATCTTCAATTCACTAAACAAGTCTGTCTGCTACGTCATCCGCCCATAGCACCAGGAAGTGGAACGTACATCACCAACCATCATCGGTTACAGTGCTGGTGATGGCGTGTCCTTGCGTACACGTTATTTTTGCAAATCATTCCTTTCCGTTTTCGTGTTGAGGCAGGTCGTGAAATTAAAATTGATGTTCGTTCCACCCTGTCACTGTCATAAAATAATGTTTTAGATAATAAATATACAATTTACCCGAACTGGTCATTCACGTGCATATCTTGGCACGATGGAAATCGAACACCTATCGAACTGACGTGGTCATATTTGAAACGATTATTTCTAAATTTGCGCACATAGTAGTTTTAGATAACAACTTTGTAAGTTGTAATGAATTTGAGTGTATCGAAATTAAAGGCAATAAAACACCTCAATAATGGCGAATCCCTCTCCAAAGGGGGAGTGTGGTAAAGAGAGATGAAAAAACCGATGTGTACCTTCCTTAAAAGTTGTCCTAGCTCGCTATTCTACTATCTATATGCAATTTTCACACTGCCGTACTCTAACGGAACTATCAACCCTATACTTTCATCTACTCCATCTATCGTATAAAAATTACCACTACAGTCTGTTATTTGAAATTAGCATCTTCAACTATGAAAATACAGATTTTTTTACCATTTAGATTTAGTTGCCAACCTTCTTATTACCTTCCATTTAAATCTTAAGTTTAAATCTAACCGCAATACGGCAATAACTGCACGAGAATTGTAAGGGGTTTTTTTTTTTCCTTTGGTTTGTTTTTTCCGTCGATCTTGTTTTCCGTGCTGAGCACCAATGCTACCGACGTGCCAGGAAGGCAGCTCCCACACCTGGACCCTACCCATCGACCCATCAACTCATGAACCGGGGACCAACGGCTTTACTTCCCATCCGAAGGAAGGCGTGATCAGAGATGTTATGCCTCAGAACATCCCGGCGGCGCCGACTGGTATTGAACCCAGGCCTGCTGGGGTGAGAGGTAGTCACGCTTACCACTACACCACCGGTGCCGTTGTTGTAAGGGGGTTAACAATGCGTACAATTATCCTTGTAACAGATGTGTGAGTATGTGTTTGATAATACAAAATGACTGAATATTTACGTGTGAGATGGACATCGAAAAACAGCGACGTTTATGCGTGGCGTGTGTTTCGATGTCCTAAAGTTAGATTATTTCCACATACCTGCTCTGTTCGATTGGTCTATCATTGGTTGTACAATTCTCCGCCTTGCGTTTATGAACCTGAAAAAAGAAAATATGATAACCATTACAAAATGTGTTTGAAATTCTTTCAAAATTCATAACAGGTGAAATTCAAATATTTGAGACCAGATATTTCGTAGTAATGATTCAAACCGTAGATTGTATACTTAATGCATTTAACAACAATAGAACTTGCTGAAATCGTACCGTGACTTGAAACGGTGTACCGTTTATGAGTGTCAACAAGTTTTTATGGAATTTACAGGATTTATCGATAAAAACCAGTGTTGCATAGATTGCCAAAATTTCAAACAATTTTCAGGAAAAACTTCTGAGATATGGGTGATAATGTATTATATTAATTAATATTATTATATTATTATTATTGTATTATTATTATTATTATTATTATTATTATTATTATTATATTTTTATTTCCCTCGGTAATATGACCATTTTTAATCTGCACAGTCATTCTCAAATGCAATTTAGTATATGGACAGTATAGTGATATTTACTAAACGGAACGCAGAATCAAAACAAAACAGTAAATAAGGCTACGAGAAACATGCATTTCTGATGGTGATAGGGTTACAAGAAGTGAAAATTAAAAATGAACCCCGTTTATATGTATGAAGTGTCGTTCAGATTACAGGGGGTGAACGGTATAATTATAATAATATTATTATTATTGTATTATTATTATTATTATTGACTGGACATCCTTAACTTAACAAACTGTTCTCCTCGTGATGTTGATATATTTAGACATAATAGTTATACTATTATTTATATTCCTTATTAAAGAGACTTTCAGCCTTGGGTAGGTTTGTCTTTCTCAGTAACCATTAATTGAAAACTAATAAACAAAACCTTTAACTTATCGAAAATAGAACTCAGCGCCGTAGAGAGGGAGTGGCAAAAATGGCCCCGCCAACAAATCAAATAATTGCTTCGTTTTCTTCATATTGATGCCTTTTTTAATGTAGATATCACACCCATCAACACCGAGGGGCGATCATTAGCATTAGCATTAGCATTAGCATCGAATAAGTTGCACAATATCGTAGGTGGTACGAATTTCGAAACTATTAAGAGCAAGACGGATATCTATTTATTACTGGACAGATAGTAAGTAGGAAATAATTACTATCTCCCAGATAAAGACATATCCCCTCCAACAGTTAAGGACTGTCCTGGCCACGTCCTTGCAACTGGTAGGGATAAGAAAGGTATGTTAGTCCAACATTTACTTAAGAGAGATGCAGAGAACTCTACGACCCCTCATAAATGTCTCAAAAATTTAGGAATTATGTTAGTGGGAAGGCAAGCCATAGGTGTTGCTGGCAAATGTTGTTTTTTTTTTTTTAAATAAATGGTGAAATTTCTGTCCAAAGCGTCTGCTGAAATATAATGAAGATATACATGGTGAACTCACCATCGTTGTCACATCCGTAGCTTTTTTTTTTTTTTTAATTCTTTATTTAAGAGATTTTTAGCCTTAGGCTAGTTCATCTCTATCATCCGTAGCTGATTAATAGGAAGGAATTATGATGATCAACACCAAGGAGCGATCATCTTCACAGCAAAAAAATAATTTTGATATCACGTCAAAGTGGATGCACTACAATCATGTCGAAAATATGGTGTAATATTACTTGCTAAAAAGGACAAAGTTATCATTAATACAATGCATGAACTGACATTACGCTGCTTTTACTGCATTTGTTTATTTATGTGGTCATAAAAATTACATGAAATTTTCGACATGATTGTAGTGCATCCACTTTGATGTGATATCAAAATTATTTTTTTGCTGTGTTCATAAATCAGCTGAATTGGGTTCTTTAACGTAAACTGCATTGAAAATGGAACAGAATTCCTAAACATCATCAAGTTTGGTACACTGGAACTATTTTATAAAAGTGCGATTACGTTAGCAAAAATCTTAGTGCCCCTTACTGGGACTTTGTATGAGAGCGAGTTGTTAATTTGATAGTTTAGTGAAGTTATTGTTTTGCTTTAAATCTTGATTTTAAAAATCGAGATGAAAGTCTATGGGTCCGAAAAACATCGTAATGCTTAGAAAACGAAGCTCTTTCAGATGATTTAAAAATAAACGATAAATGTTTCAAAACTAAAGAACCTAATTGAAGAATCAAAGTGACGATTGACTCACAGATGGCCAATGGGTGAAAATGGTAACGACGTTTTGATATCTGTCAAATTGCATGAATTTTTTATCAGTACATCATCATTTTTGTAATTGCGGATCTTAAAACTAGGTGTCGCATGAAAAATTTTGGTTTTGCTTTGATTCACAAATTGTTAATACAAACTTTGAAAAATACACAAAAAAATACAAAAACACAAAAATACCTCAGTTATCCGAAAACACTCAAGCTGACAGCCCTTCGATCACATGGGTCGGGACCAACGGCCTTACTTCCCCTCTGAAGGAATTTAAAGAATTTTGGCCTCTCACAATATTTAAAAACTATTCAAATTTGGGTAGAATCCTCCCAGGTCGGTCAAAACTGAATTCACCCAAGAATGGCTATAATATGTAGGGAGTGAAAAGTTGCAAAATGAACGACATCGATCGGATTCATGTCGATGTTGTCTATTTATAAAGTTGTCACTCTCAACATAGTTTATCTATTTTTATAGGTTCAGTTTTGACCAATATGGGTGGATTCTACCAAAATTTGGGTAGTTTTGAAATAGCGTGTAGCGACTTTTCACACGGTAAAACAAATCGGTAATCATGATTACTTACTTTTGGGTACAACTTACTTGATTTTTGTTCTTTAGAGGTATTTAGGTAAATGCATATTCATAATCTGCATTAAGAATAGAACCGAAATTCAAAATTTCATCAGTTTTGCTGATGAAAATATCGATTACATTAGCAAAAATCACCATCATATCGCCCCGCAGTAGAGCTGTCAGTTTTTTAGTTTACACGGCAACCTCAAAATACCCAAAAATTACTATAAAAGGCTCGATATTGACTACAAAGTAAGCATTTTCGAGGGAGTATCCATAAAATTTGTAAAAATATTACCAATTTTTGAGTATACTTACTACTTATTTTTGAAGTTGTAGTTACTCATAAATGGGTAACATTTTATTCATTTAATGGGTAGTCCTAGTTTACCTCGAAAAAACGTACTTTGTTGTAATTATTGGTTATGTTGCGCTATACGTGTAGTGCCAAACAGTGAAGATATTATTTTGCTCTAAATCTTGATTTTATAATTTTTAAATCATCGAGTGGAAAGTCTATGGGATAAAAAAAAAATATCTTTTTACTCAGAAAACCACATGTTTTACTTGTAAGTTAGTAGTAAGGTGGCAAAGTACGTGTTTGATACATAAACTGTTAATTTTACTTTCTAAGAGTCACAATCAGTGATTTTATGATCGCATCAAATGACAGGTTTTATTGTCAAACACATACTTTGCAACCTCTTCTTAAGTCTTACAAATAAAAAATGTGATCATAACATCTAATGATTTCATCCCGGGTAGACAAACATATCTCAGTCATACAACATTAGGATTTTGATATCAAAAAATTACGGTATCAAATTAAAAAGACAATACACTAATGTTTTAATCTCAACTTAGACCAAAATTGAGTAAACTTTTCTCAATGATGCCATTTTTTAGTTATAAGGTTATGCATTAGAACCCCACTTTCGCCCAAATGAGTGAAATCCCACTTCCTAGAATTTGATAACCGTATAACTAAAAAAGTGGCAGTAATGAGTAAAGCTTACTTAATTTTAAGTCTAGGTTGTAAATATTCATAATCATATTTTTTATTTGTTAGACACAAAAAGAGGTTCAAAGTATGTGTTTGCTACATAAAACTTGTCTATTTTGATTCCTGATAGCCTGAATTTACTATCTGAACTTTGAAAAAACTTAAAATATTTCGCTACTTGACACATATTGCCATATCAAGAAAACGAAATTCAACGCAATTGACAGCCGCAGTATGCTATTAAAGCTGCGGTTGTCAAATAATCGTACGCCAAATGATAACTTTTCTTATAACTAATATGAATACCTAGAATTAATTTTCTGAGCACAGTACGTATATTTATCGTTCCAATAGACTTTTATCTTGATTTTGAAATCTTAAGCTAAAAAACTTTAAAAAAAAACTTATTTTGCTATTTGACACACCCCGGAGGATGTTAGATTCGTTTACAATTATCTGGGATTCATCATCGGAGGATGTGAGTGGAGACTGCGCATGAACGGAGGATACGATATACCGAGCTGCGGTCCAAGTGCAAGAAAATGGAGAAACTGAGTGGGACTCGAACCACGCACGTCGGGATTATCAGACCAGATCCACAGTTCTATCCATGCTTCGGAAAATGGATAGACTGGAACCAAATAAAAAGCGCTCATACACACTTAATCACGGCTTCCCTTTTCGGTAATTTTTTTTACCAGTTTTCGAACTGTAAATCATAAAAAAATACCGAACATTCAGCTACTTTCAATAAAAAATAACAGCTTTACGGTGAATAACTAAAGCTCAGTAATATAGAGTACCGAGTTTACAGTATCCATTATGTTTAACTGAACAGTCATCGAACGAAATTCCAAAATGGCTGATCGCACCCGTTAGTAAACTTGCTTGTGTCATCCTCCTCCGTTTCACATTGCGCACTTACCTCGAACTTGTTTGGAAATCTCTGTGTGAAAAAAGAAAATCTTTGTGAAAATAAGTAAAACATCTGGAAGCCAACGCAAGAGTACAGAAACTGACACGGAATTGGACAGTTTATGAACTTCTGCAGCGACTTCCAGATGTTTCACTGATTTTGAAGCTGAACAATTCACTAACATTGCCTGTTGTTGAGCTCCAGACATGGACACGCAATCCTAGCCACCAACCGGCCGAACCACCAGGAAGCGCTATACATGTTAATCTCAGTCCCCAAATAAAAATCGTTGAAATTTAGAAACATTTTAATCCTACCATCGTATGAAACAAAAAAAAAAAATTATATTGCTATAAGTAAATAAATTTTT